AAGGCAGACGCTTAACGACTGAGCCACCCAGGCACCCCTCACTTAAAAATTTTTTATGCACTTTAAGGGGCACCTGGGTGGCTCAGTCGTTAAGCGTCTGCCTTCGGCTCAGGTCATGATCCCAGGGTCCTGGGATCGAGTCCCGCGTCGGGCTTCCCGCTCCGCGGGAAGTCTGCTTCTCCCTCTGCCACTCCCCCTGCTTGTGTTCCCTCTCTCGCTGTGACTCTCTCTGTCAAAACGAATAAATAAAATCTTTAAAAAAAATTTTTTTTTAAATGAAAGGTCACTCTTCCTTGCATCCCTTGTGCCCATCCCCAGGGGAAGATCGTAATGACCACTGTGTCTCTGTATTATTTTCCCAGGGATGCTGTAAATAAAAACTTACCAGAAATGTAAGGATGTGAAACGACACAAATTTATTATCTTTATGGTTCTGGAAGTCAGAAGTCCTAAAATTGAGGTGTCAGTGGGGCCATGCTCTCTCTAAAGGCTCTAAGGGAAGATCCTCCCTTTGCCTCTTCCAGCTTCTGGTGCCCCTGGGATTCCCTGGCTTGAGGCCACATCCCTTCAATCTCTGCCCGTCCTTACGTGGCCTTCTTTGTGTGTGTCTCTCTGTGTCTCCTCTCCTTATAAGGACACCTGCCATTGGATTTAGGGCCTATCCTAAATCTAGGATGGCTTCATCTCAATGTCCTTAAACTAATTACATCTGCAAAGATGCCCTATTTCTTCAAGTTCACAGTTGGAGATTCTGAGGGCACACACATTTGAGGACACTATTCAACTTACCACAGTTCCCCTCCCACAGAATTGCTTTTCTTGCAAGTCTGGGGCGGGGGGGGCTCCTGTATTTGCCCGAATGTGCTTGTTTAAGAGTTCAGGGTCTTAAGAATGTAAGGGCCAAGATAGCACAGAAGACCCACAAACGAGTAGTCTTCACTTGTCTGCCCCATGCCCTAACTGTTAGCATTGCTGTTTCACAAGGAACAAAAATCGCCGTCCACTCGGGTGCCTTGTTGCTATTCAGTGTCTAACACCATCTAACACTGTGGCTTTGGAGAGCTTCTCAGTGGGGTTTTTGGCATTTTCAGAAGAAGAGGAAGAGGAGGAGGAGGAGGAAAAAGAGGAAGTGGGGGAGGAAGAGGCGGAGAAAGAAGAGGAGGAAGAAAAGGAAGGGGGAAGGGGGGAGGGGGAGAGGAAGTGGGGGTCGGTATCACCCCGCAGCGTTTGTGTTTGCAAAATGTCTCTGCCATTAGACAGTTCCGATTTAAAATACGGATTAGCTCTGACAAAACTGACCTAGGCTGGCTCTTCTCTTTGGTGGTTTCAATTTCGGTCTTATCCATCACAAATGATTTTAATACTATAGGATTTTGACAGAACAGGGGTAGGAGTTTTGAATTCTTACCTGCAATTCCCAGCTCTAGGGAATAATAGTGGAGAGAAAAACAACAATAACTGAGTTGTAGGATATGAAAACATGCTGAATCTTCCCCTTCGAGTTTTATGCTCGTAGGCATTCAACAAGTCACTTTCCTGTTGAACAAATAAGCTCTCTTGTACCAAATTATGAGCCTTAGAAAACCTATCACATTTTTTCTTCTGCCTCGAGTGCAAGGAAACTTGGAAGAAACAATGATCAATTTCAGTAATTATTCACCTAGATTTTTACTATACTCAGTCCTTGTCTATGTGCAGCTTTATGTTCTGTTTCTGTCAGCAGGTTTTATTGCACCTACGATTTCATATCCTTTCCAGGCATTTTCTCCTGCCCTGGCCTCCATGACACTGGTCTCACTTTCTGCTCCCTGCTGTTTGTTTCTTCTGCTTCTTTCTCCTTTGCCTTCTCTGTCCACCTTTCAAGTGCTGGGGTTTCTTAGGATTCCTGCTCTTCTCTCTCTGACATGCGACACTTGGATTTCTTATACATTCAGTGGATTTTAACTGCTCCCTGGAGACTGACGACTCCCGAACCAGTATCTGCAACTCCAACCTTCCCCTGATTTTGGTTCAGATTTGAATCCATCAACTGCGTGTGAGGCGAGTAGTGTTTGCGTGTGTCTCTCGGGTGCCTTACTCGATGCCTATGGATTTGAGCTCAGCACCTTTCTTCCCTGGACTGCCCTTTCTGCTTTGGCTGTGCCCAGTCTAGGAGGACAGTGGGGCAATGGCCCAGAGTCTCAAGAAGGAATCTGCGAGTTATCTAAGACTTGTTTCTTTCTCACCGTGACGTTCAGTGTCCACATGCTCTTGATCTCCTTGCTAAGCATTTCTAGAATCTATCTCTCTCCCTTCATTTCTGTTAGCTCTGAATTTCGGACCTGGGATCAGATGGTAATTGATCATCTCATCTTGGCTATTTCCTTATTCTCTTAACTTGACCATAGCACGCTTAAAATGTTTCTGTGGTGTCCCACTGCTCACAGAATTAAATGGAGACTTACCAGCATGAAACAAAGGCCTTCCCTGACCGGTTCCTGCCCGTCTCTGTGGTCATCCCCTGCCACTCCTCCCCAGCCCCCCCATTCTCTGCCTTCACGGCTGCCTGCCATTCCACCCAGAAGCACACTGTTTCATGCTTCCATGGCCTTGCTGGGGCTGTGCTTCCTAAAAGGCCTTTACCATCTTTCTTTACTAATTCTTACACAACTTTAACTCAGCTCAAATGTTATTCATTCAGCAAACACTTGTTGAGCACCAAGTGTGTGCCAGGCTGTGTTAGGGTTCCCCTGGTGAGCAAGCAGAGAGGGACACTGTCCTCAAGGAGTTTTATCCTACCAGCTCTCACTGAGCTACGATGTTGGGCTACGTGCCTCTCCCTCTGCCCGCCTTCCCCAGCAACCTCTCACAGCCCATCGTTACCCGTGGCCTATGAGGCTGAAATGACCTTCTGGTCCTCATTGTCTAATGTACTGTGAATTTCATGGTTGGCGCGGGGCATGCTGTATTCATCTTAGTATTCTAAGTGCCTGGGACAGTGCTTAGCACAGTATGTCTCGCTTGTTGAACTCAACTATCAGTTATAAATAAATGAGCCCATGACTCAGCTTAAACTTTACATTCTCAAGGATACCTACCCTTGATCCTCCAGAAGAGGTCAGCCATCCTTGTGATATGTCCCTTTCCATATCTATTTATTGTACTTATTGTACTATTTATTCCCAGAATAAATTATAACATTATTTTTTTCAACCATTCACCTTATTTACTTTAATTTGGTTTTCTGCACTAAGTTGTAAATTTCGTCAACAAGGCTGATGGTGCAGCTAGCAGAGTACATGGCCTATGATAAATGCTTAATAAGTATTTGTTAACTGATAGGCATGTTTTCTTACTGGGTAAAAATCCTGGATGCATTGCTGGCACCTGCCGAAAATTTAGAGCCAGTCGCCTGCTGGCCTAGTGCCCTGTTCTACCCATCTATAAAATGGAGATGTTCCTGTGGGATAATGTTGGATAGCAGATGAGCTTCAGATAAAATCATCTCAAATGTGTTGTAAATAAATCATATAGAAAAAGGAAAGATGGGATTACAAGATTAAACACATCAACTAAAATTCCAGATGAGCTTTGAAATGCCTATTGCAGGATGTGGTATTTTATTCCCCCACAGGAAATATAAACATTTTCCCCCCTTTTTCCTTCCCAGCAATGGAGACAGAAATGCCTGTGCCAAATGGAGTAGAATCAGAACAGGTAAAATTTTTGTGAAGTATTTGAAGCATATGACTTCGATTTTTAAAATCCACAATAGAGGTTTGCAGAAATAACTGGGGAGGCAAATATATCTGAGCAGCAACTGTGGGGAAATAGCTAAGCAATTTGTAGACTGGTGCCTTGTGCTCTTGGCAGAAATAACGTTCCTATCGTTACCTCTCTATGTGCAGACACTTTGAAAAACAAAAAGAAATAAGAAGTACAAAATCATGGAAAAATCATTATATGTGCCTTCTGTGTGGCCCAGGATTAGTGATATCCTGCAGGATCAACACTTGCCACCAGCATCCTTCTTATTTGCTGAGTGTATCCTTAATTAATTTTTATTATCACAAAAGTGATTCAAGCTGCTTTAAGTAAAAACTGCCGGCAGTATCGACACCTATAAGGGACAAGTGAAGGCCCCCCCCTCCCTTCTTTCTTCTTTCCCTTCTCCCTCCTGAGAGGGAGATTGTTGCCCCTCCTTGCTGCTGTGTCGAGAAAAGGTGTCAGGGCCCCTTTATACTCATAAACATTAAAACAGAAATTAAAAATGATGTTTATTAATTCATTTAAAAGCAAGAATAACAAAACAAACCCATGACATGTTGACGTAAGTAACATTTTATGAAAAATAACTATATTTTCCCAAATGAAAAAATATTAGAAAAATGGCATTAGGTGACATTGTTTTACATTTCTGCAAATCTCGTGAATGTCCGCCTGACCGGGAGGCAGAAATTCTCTTATCTGCCTGCATATTCCAGCATCGGAAGGATGACCTCAGCACATTACTTGTCAAGTCACCTGGGGGAAAACCCCACTGTCCATCTCATGAGAGTGACAGTGAAAATGGCAAATAATGTTTCGTGAAAATCATTTTGATCTCATGGGTCCCCTGGCCACACTTTGAGAACCGGTGCTGTAGAAAATTTGAAATTGAGTTCCATTTTCTCTTGAATCTTGTTGCCTCCGGAGGGCTGAGTCAGCTGTGAAGAGAGCTGCCTGGGACTGGGTAGATTTCCTATCTTCAGACCCCTGAACCCCACAGCCCATATGCCTGAGGTCGAAGACAGGAAAATTGGGCGGTCTGGGTAAATGTTCCAGGTTTTCAGAGATTTTCCAAGAAATTCTGATTTGTAAGGCTGCTTTGTTTTGATCTTGAGCCTTATCGGGCAAAGTGGGGGTGGGGGGACAAGCAATGAAGCTACTTGGCGAGTGGAAGGTATGACTGGGACAGGAAAATTGTGTGGGGGTAATGTTCAGAAAGGACTGGCCCAGTCGCCTTCCCTGTGTCTCACCAGGTAAAAATGGCCATCAACTCCGAGCTGCTAATGATTATCGTTCCCTCCCTGGGATTCGTGCTGTTGGTGTTGCTTGTGGCGTTTTTCCTTCGAGGTAAGGAGTGCAGGCCCCAGGTGGGATGGTGCCCTTTGGAGCTGTGGAGCCTCTAGGAGGATCTGGGGGTGGACTGATTCTGCTTCCTGCCCCTGTCTCCTTCCCTCAGAGTCCCCTTTCCATCATTGTCTCCAACCTGGTCAAGGAGGTAACAGGGAAATTCATTCTCCCTCGGATGCTAAAGCCTTCATGTGTCATCTTCCTGATGGAGTTTATATTTTGGAAAAGAAAAACAAGAGCACCTTCATTTTCTGGAAATTCAATCTCTGGCAGTCCTGCTGTTATACTCCTGATGTGTCTAACTGCTTTCCTTCTCATGACTGCCTTAAGTGAAAAGTGCTATTATTATCATCATTGTCTTAGGGCAGAGGAAACCCTGGCCCAGGCTCCTCCTCTGGCTAGGACTGCCCCAGGAAGAAAGCCATGAATAATCTCGGGCTTCTTCTTCCCTTAAAGCAAGATTTGTTTACCTGGGCTCGACAGACCTCAGGGGAAAGTGAATCCCTTGAAATCCTGTGCAAAGGTACTTGCATGTTCCTATCTGCACTTCTCAGGGGGTGGGGTCCATGGTTGTTATTAGATTCCCCAGCTGGTCTGTGACCTTACACCTCCCACCCCCACCCCTCACTGTCGAAAAAATAGTTTTAACACACTGCAAAAAGGAGTCATGGAACAGGGTTTATAGTTGTCATGCAAAGTAGAGGCATGTGACATCTGGTCCTGCTGTAAAATGGGGGAAAATTGTTCTGTAGTCATTAAGAGAAACTGTTTCGAGGTGGTAAATGAGGAGATACGACTGCTAACCAGCTTGGCCTGTTCAAGCAACAGTAGTGAAACTTGCATATTTCAGTACCTGTCCCTAGTGAACACTGACAAAGGAAATTCGGAACTCAGTGGGAAGCCTGCCATTAGCCTTCCTACAAAGCCCTCATAAAGGCAGAGGACATTGGTTCTCACACAGTTTTGGAATTTCTGAGTATGTCTCCTAAGGAGGTGTTTTAAAACTCAAGTGAGTGCTTGAATTCTGGGTGGGCAAATGACTTAAGAATGAAGCAGCATGGGGCGCCTGGGTGGCTCAGTCGGTTGGGCATCTGCCTTCGGCTCGGGTCATGATCCCAGGGTCCTGGGATTGAGCCCCGCATCGGGCTCCCTGCTCAGCGGGAAGCCCGCTTCTCCTTCTCCCTCTGCTGCTCCCCTTGCTTGTGTTCTCTCTGTGTCTGTCTCTCTCTCTGTCAAATAAATAAATAAAATCTTAAAAAAAAAAAAAGAATGAAGCAGCTTAACACTATTGCCCACAACATGGGAACAGATGTGTAATTGATGGGCACTGCCTTGGGGCCCGAAGAAGCAATCACTTGATCTGATTAAAGGAACAGCTTTCTCTGCCAAAACCATTCCCTCAGTTCTCACCTTTGGTCCAACTCCGCTCTTGGTAAGGCAGCTTTGGGCTTTCCCAGCATTTCACATGTTCTAGCACAGCTACTCTGCTTATCCCATGGCCTTGTCTTTTCAGGGAAAGTCATGAAAACCAGTTGGTTCCCGAAACACACAAGGTAATTCATCTTGCATGACTGATTGTTGTAATGATTGTACAAGCTGTTACAAATGATTAGATACTACTCAGTGGTTTAATGACTTGTGCTTGTGTTCTGATTAAATACAGGGTTGGAGAAGTGTGGCATTAGAGGTGAAAAAGATGTGGGATTTAACTCACTTTAACCTCTGTCTTGGTTAACACTATGTTATGTTTGTCTCAAATACAAATATAAAGGCAGGTTGCATTAATAGAAGCATGACATGCAAAAGAAGGAAGGTGATATGTCTCTGTCCTCTGTGCTCAGAATTCTTTGTTCAACTCTGGGCAATTCATTTTATTTATTTATTTATTTATTTATTTAAGATTTTATTTACTTATTTGTGAGAGAGAGAGTACAAGCAGGGGGAGCGGTAGGCCGAGGGAGAAGCAGGCTCCCCGCTGAGCAAGGAGCCTGATGCAGGACTTGATCCCAGGACTCTGGGATCATGACCTGAGCCAAAGGCAGACACTTAACTGAGCCACCGCCGCATCCCTGGGTGATTCATTTTAAAAGGACATTGTTAAACAGGAGTTTATGGAGAAGAGAGTTGGCAGTATGGAAAATGAAAAACACGTAGAATATCATTCCTGGGATTTGGTTCCTCTGCCCAATATTAGACCATAAGAGCAGTTTTTTGTTTTGTTTTGTTTTAAATAGTTTGAAGAGTCTTTGGAAAGAGATTTTGGATATCGGTCCTGTTCTATAGCTTTTTGGGAAAGAAATGAAAAGATCTGGTGTAAACTGTGATGAAGACTGTGGCTTCACTTAATTGCATCAATACGAAAATATCTATTAACAAATAAATATTAAGTAGGGGAACTGAGACTCAGCAAGGCAGCTTTCCAAGGTCATACACACATTTCGATCTTGATTTTATATTTTGCTAATGTAAATATAGAAATGTCTAATTCCCTTATTGGAATAGACTGGCAAAAGCCCTTTATTTCCCGCGGCTTCAGTTTTCCCATCTGTGAATGGAGAGGCTTAGACAGGATGGAGTCTGAGCCATTTTCACTCTAACAGCCATGGTTAGTTGTGTTGTGAGTTAGCAACATCCCATTATTTCTGGTCCTGGTGTTCCCCATTCTCAGCCTCTCTTTTCTCCTTACAGGCTAGACAATGCTGGAGAATGTAAAAACAACTTTGATGACATGCAGCATGGAAGAGAAGACGAAGATGGTCTTTTCACGCTCTAATGTGCCACTTTTTCTCAGGATTGAGGACGGGGGCATGATCCGGGAATTGTCAAAATAAGTCTTAGAATGTGTTGTTTTGTTTTGTTTTTAAAGCCGCATCTATTCCATTGGTGTCATGATCCAGTCTTGCTTTAATGTCACAAGTGAAAGTACCGTAGAGACCTTTAGCACCTTCTCTGCCAGGTGCTTTAATCTCCTGGGTAGCATCACGCTAAGTGATCTTCCAGACTGTGCTTGAATAATTTCAGTGATGGTGAACTCACTACCACATCTAAAGGAGATCAATCAATCTCAGGTAGGTCTGAGACTTAGAAATATTTAAAACAAAGTCTGTCTCCGGACAGCATCTGCCTATGGATCGTAGTGGAACTCATTGTGTTTACACAGAACATGTGTAATGTCTCTTCTCTCTGGCAGCGCTCCAGATACTGGAAGGAGGGCCTCACGTCTCTCCAAATTGCCCTGTGTCAGGGACATGATTTCTGGTTCCTTCTCTACCCTAGTTGCCTTTGCCTCCTATGCATTTGTATCTCGCTGTTTATGCCCAACTTTCGGAGTGCAGCGTCCCCCTCCAGGGATGGTAGGAGCAACCCTGGGTCTGGGTCTCATCAATAATGCTGGAAGCGATGTAGAACCGCACCATAATTTTGGCTCACCTTTTCTTTTTTGAGAAAAAATTCTCCCTTAACCAGGGCTCTGTGGGGGCGGGTGTGGTGGCACAGAGTCAGGAGTTTCCTGCGGCAGGAGGCAAACGTCCCGGTGGAGGTGGGTGTCAGAGGCCTCATTGAAGCTGGCATTTACCTGGAATCCCCGTCTGCAGTCCTTCCCCTCTTCGATTTGTTCTCCGAGCTGTGGCAGAGATCTCCTTTTCTAAATGCAGATCAGAGAGTCCTGTCTCCCGACTTCTGCTGTGGAAGAAGCACCTGGGCTCAGCCTGAGGCCCCAGGCAGCTGCCACAGATGAGTGAGCGAGGGAAGTGCTGGGGCTGTTCTAAGTGCAACGTGCCTGTGTCCACTTGAAGGCTTTACCCCTCCAACTTAGTTAGGATAACGTCCTGGGCAAGCAACACGTGGCCATGGGCTGGAACAAGGCAACCAGTCTGAGACTCCAAAGTCTAGGAGGTAGGGTGTGGGTTTTACCAACTGATGAATTAATAAATACATAATTCTTATGCTGAGACTCCCTGGTCAGGGGAGATTGTTGGTCTAGTTAATTCTCTCTTTCCCTCTCCGTGTAATCAGGATGAATTGGTAACCTCCTACAATAACTTCCGAGTATCTAGGGCCCAGGAGAGAGGATCACTTCGCTTGGAGAGCTTAAAAATCTAAATGAGATGGAACACACATGGGAAATGCGACAGAATGGAATCAGTGTTGATTTTCCATTTGCACAAGGAAGGACTTTGATGGAGACGTGGTTCTTACAGCTGATTTTTACATGGTGGGTCCACAGTCCAACCTTGAGGGTTTAGAACAACCTATTTCTGCAACCTTGACCTTGGCTTTTCTAGACTAAATCAGAGATAACATCCAATCCTTAAACAGCATTTGCTATGGTCTAGGTATCCTACTAAGTGTTTCAAGGCAATTTCTCATGGAATCCTCATAGCAGCCCAGTAAAACATGTATATTACTCCTGCTTTTGGAGTGGAGAAAACAGAAGCAGAGAGAGGCGAAGGAACTTGCCCAAGGTCACATGGACCAACCCCCTATGACAGAGCAGGGCCTTGAACCAGGCTGGAAGGACTCCACACTCTTAACCACTACCCTGTACTTCACAGCAAAGGCCTTAATTTAACATTTCACGCATACAGAACTGCAGTATTGGCCTCCGATGGGTCCAAATGGATTTTAGTTTGCTCAACTAAAATCCGGCGGCCTGAGTGTTTTGATGGTTCTCCAATCCCAACCCCTTTATAGCTCAATCTTCCCTTGTCCCCATATTATTTGCTCAGAATCTTATTTGCATTCGCAGAGGAAGCTGCAAGTGGAGAACCTGGCAGGAACCTTAATGAAGCCAGGTGGGACACATTTAAATGGGAATGTGTTGAACTAACTCATGAAGAGCTGGAGCCAGCTGTCAGCAGGCTTAATGAAAGGTTAACAGGAATCCGGCAATGGGTGGCTAGAGAGACTTTGTCTCTCTAAAGAAAACACAAATTTGAGAAGTGAGCTCCCTGGGTGAAGGCAAGATCAGAAGGAGGAAGCCACTTGTAACCAGGAGGCTGGGTCTCAAAATAGAATTTCCTTTGGATTTGTAAACATGTTATAGTCATTAAAAAAAAAAGGCATTGCGAGTTCTCAGCTCTCTGAACATCAAAGGACAGTGAAGAGAGGGATGCTGGAAGAAGACGAATGCTAATATTGTTATGAGGGTCTTGGGGCGTGCTGGAGATAGCCGCTCATGGAACAGAAGATGCGTTTACTTTCCATCTGAGCTGGAAAGGCGCTGTTTGGCGGTTGTATGTTTTATCCATGCTGCGTATGGAGTGGGGGTTGGGGGGTGTCCAGGAAAGACCCTGACTCATCCAGCAATTCAACTCCCATGTTTTATCTGATGAAACTGAGGCCCAGACTGAGGGGGACTGAGTTACCCCAGGCTACACAGGAACCCAGTGCCAGAGCACAGACCTAAACCATGTCTCCCGAACTTCTCTCTGTGGCCATGTCATAAACCTGTTCTTGGATTTTTCTAGGTCCACCTGGATCTGCCTGATTATTTACCCTTCTGAGGTCACATTAAGTTCCTGGTGCATGCAGCTCAGCATTTCTTTCCCTTGAACCATCTTTCCCAGCACACCCTTGACCCTGTGGTGGACTGCCATTTCCAGAAAGAGGAATGAGAATGTGGAAGTGCAAAGCCTGGCTGTTCTGTTGCTTTTTGAAGAACACCACCATAATGAGGGTGACCAACTAGTCCCGTTTTAAAACTCAAAGTCCCGCATGCTGGGAACCCCTTCAGGAGCCCCTAATGACTGTAACATGTTTACAGATCCAGGCAAACTGGGATGATTGGTCCACTTAAGTCTGTAACTAAACCAGAGATGGTTTAGTTTTTAAAGGGGGAGGGAGCCACGTTCTGAGTTCTTGACTCTCTTGCAGTGATCATTTTTTTTGCTGCAATAGTACCCAAGTGGAATTTAATTTGTTTAGCTCCAGTCTTAAAATAGACTACTAAATCTAGATGCTAGACCCTTATTAATCAAAACATGGGGCTCAGACCATGCCATGGTCATCACCTGGGAGCTTGTTAGCCATGCAGAATGTCGGTCCCCACCGGAGAGCCCAGAATCAGAATCTGCATTTTAATGAGGTTTCCATGTTATTCGTATGAACATTAAAAATTGAGAAATACTGGCTTAAAGCATTGATTTTTAAAGTCAGCTGCACATGGAAATCATATGGGGATTTCAGTAATAAAAAATACTGATGTTTGACTCCTCTTTAGGATCCTGATTTTAATGGGCACGGGGGAGACCTGGCTCTCAGGAGTTCTTAGACCACCTCGGATAACACTAAGGCACAGCAATGACTGTAAGCCACAATTCTAAAGGGAGGGCAGCTTCGCACCGGAAGGAATTGTTGCTAATTCATCAGGACAGCTTTTGGCCTAAGTTACAAGCTTATGGGGGTCTAGTACCCCCACATGATTTTGCTCAAAGAGATGATCAATAAAATTGTTCAAGAATATCTGAGGAGACATGATAATGACCTAAATGTCCCAAATACTATGGATGAGGCCCATTAAAGTAATTAAAAACCAAGATATAATATTTGGTCTGTGGAAAGTGATAATGAGGAAACAGAAAAGATAAATGGAGAAAGAATGTCTGGGGGTCAAAGGGATGCTATTAATCTTTCAGAGACATCAGAGGGATAATGAGATGATGCTAGGATTATAAGAGAAACATGGAAGACTGGTTAAGTGGAAACCTTTGTTGCAGAATAAAGAACTTGGTAAAAAGGCAACTCTCTGCCCTCTTTTACCTAAAGATAATGGGAGACCCTTCTCAGGGCACAGTTATTCATTGTCTTAGAAAGATGGTATTCAGCTGCAAGTAAGAGAATACTAAAAAGTAGTGACTTAATTAAAGACTTTTAATTAGTTCACATAACTAGAAATCTGGATTTAGGCTGTTTGATGGTTGGTTCAGCAGCTTCACGGAAATGAGATATTAGAGTCTCTGTGGCTTCTTTTGGCTTGTCCCCCAAGGTTGCAATATGGCTGTCACAACTCTAACGTGCCCTCACACAAAAGGATCCCAAACAGGAAGGCAGGAGGTGGAAGGGAATGGAACTTTCCCCCTAATATGACTTTTATCCTTTATCAAAAAGGGAAATCTGCCATAGAAGTTACCAGAAGACCCTCCCATATGCTTCAGTGGACATAACTTCACTGAATCACATGCCCACCCTTTGGCCAAGGGGAATGAGAGATCTGGGACTAATTTACATCAATCATGACTCAGCCCCCAGGGTGTACACATGGCCATTTAGCCAAAACTTACCATCAATCAGCATGGGAGAAACTGAGAATGGCTGTTGGGTCAACAACCTTGATTTCCGGCACACTCACTCATCCAACCAAAGTGTCTTGGGTGTCTCCTATGTGCCAAAGAGTCCTGTTGGGTGCTGGGGTGTAGGAATGAACTGGACAGACTGAGGCCCTCTTCCCTGACAGCTTATAGTCTACAGAGTCATCTCCATCTGTATTATGCATTCTGTGATTCCAAACGTTTGGATCATTTTTAATGTACCTGAGAGGCAAAAGAATGAAGGGATTTAAACAGGATAAAAGTTTAGAAATTCTGCATACACACCTTGAAGCTGGGGGACTGAACCTCTCATGCAAGTGTCAGGAGTCAATTGAGGAATGAGGCAGAAATATTTAGCCCTGGTAGATCAAGAAAATTGTAGCAAAAATTCTTAGCCACAGTGAAACTTCATAAGTATGGCAGAGAGTAGGCAGCTTGGGGTAAAAGCGCATGGTAGAGTAAGGGAAATAACCTCTTCTGTGTTTCTATGCAGTTTCCTACTTTTGTAAGAGTTTCCAAACCCATAATACTTTGTGTCAGAGCCAGAGCATATCCCCATTTGATAGGGGAGAAAAATAGAAGCCCAGACAGGTAAAGTCACTGTCTGTGTTCTTGCCAGGGTGAGTGAGACAGGACTAGAAGCAGATGTCCTGATTCCCCCTCAATCCAATTGATAAATATTTTTATGGGGTGCCTACTATGTGCACCTAGCTTTGTGCTTGGGCCCAGTAACAGTGCTAGTAGTCATCACTAATAATACTTGAGCCCTTTCTGGATGTCAGACGCTACCCTAAGCACTTTACATGCATTATTTTATATAATCGTAACAGTTTCTCTATGAGAGGGTTGCCAGTTTTATCCCTGTTTGACAGGTGAGGAAATGGAAGTTCAGATTCATGAGGTAGGTAGCCTGCAGTTGAGCTGGGATTCAAACCTTGCAGCAGCTTCAAAGCCCATGTTCTTGACCCCAGCACTCTGGCCCTTCCAGGTGTATGAAGTGCCTTAGTGATCTCTTCTTTGACTCTACTCCCATGTGAGGTGGACGGGATTGCACTGGGGATCCTAAGTTTGGTGTCCTCCTTCTCTAAGTCTGTCTGATTGGGCCAACCTGGAAATGGATGGGTGAGTGTGAAGGGCACAAAGCCAGAGGGTCTCACATTCTAGAAGAGACTCAAATTTAGCTTTACCTTCAAATGGAACTATCTATTCAGGCTCAGAGATTGAATAATGAGGATCTGGCACTTAACATATTCTATGAATGTGGCTCCCCCCCCCCTTTAAAAATATACCCGAGGAAAGAGAATGCAAAGGGCCTGGGTCCTACTCTCCTGCAGCGCCCCTGGTCCTGTCTTCCTCTTTCTTGCCTCGTCCTCATGCTGCCACTTATCTCTTCTCTCTACCCTGTTTATCTCTGTTTCCTCCTCAGCTTCTTTTCCTTCCCTTCTCTGAGATGTGTCTTATCTCCCTTCAGCAGCTCCATCAACAAAGTCCTATCATTTTTTCTCCTGCTTCAGGATGCCTCAGCATCATTTTAATCTGTCCCTCTGAGCTTTGCTTTTCAATCTCTTCCCAAACTTAATCTCAGCCCCTTCTTCACTTAGATGAAGAAAAGACCCGAACAAGATTACATTACCTGACAATACGTTCTGGCTCTGGGATCAAGATGATTAGAAAAGACAGCAGAGTCTTGCTTCACCACTGTGCCCTGGGTATGCTGTGGTAAGAAAAGTTTTTTAATTAACCTAAGACTCACCATCAATTAATGCTATAACCTCCACCACCAGCACCCTACTTTCCTGCCTTTTTTTTTTTTTTAAACTGTTGTTGAAAATCTTGCAACATGTTGGTGTGTTGGAAAGAACACAGGTCTTGGAGTCAGACTGGCCTAGAACCCAAAGTTGCTCTTGTCCAGCTGGATAGCCCAGGACAAGTTGCTTGGCTTCTCTTAGTCTCAGCTTGATCATTTGTAAATATGGACTAGTCATGGGACCCTCATAAGTAAGCATTAAAAGTAGCAATATCAGTAAAGCAGTTAACACAGTGCTTGGCACAGGGTAGATGCTCTATGACTAGTAGGCTCACTCTGCTAACTCTGCAGCCCTAACCAGTTTAGAGTTATAAGTCTATGTTAATTGGAAATTGTTGGCAGGACTTGCAGAGTCCCCCGCTGAGGATACGTACAGTGCACTTGCAGAACTGGAACGTTGAGCCTGTGGACTTCTGGTCTATCTCAGGAGCTGCATGTATGTCCCCTGATCTGGGGTTCTCATATTGTAGATGGCCTAAGAATCATCTGAGAACATGTTAAAATGCGTATACCTGGGTCCATCCCCCAAAGATGCTGATTCAGTGAATTGGAATTGGGCCCTACTACCTGAATTTTCAATGACCTCAATAGAGTTCTGAAGCATTGGACAGTGGATCCTCTGAGAGTGTGGCTCAGAGGCTGACATTTAGACAGTGCTCATAGTAGCGAGCCTGATTCCTAGCCACTCTGCCCTCCCACCCTTCCCTGGATTCTGACCCTGCTTTTTACCTTTCTTTGTCTTTGGACCCTGTGTTCAGCTCTAGTTTGGCTCTGATTTTGTTCTTTCTTGGTTCATCATGGTCAGCCCCAGGGCATTCTTACTCTCTGGTTCGTACCCTCAGCCACCTCTACCTGCCTGAGGTTTGGCTCGGCTTAATCTTGTGTTCCATGTTAAACTGTTCCGAAGTGACCCTGTCACTCCTGAAGCTTCTGTGCACCAGTTATGGTTGTCATTTGTCATCCTCTCCTGCCTCTCTTGTATGCCTTTGGGACCCGCTACCCCTTTGGACTTCCAAAGGGATGAAGACCTAGGGGAAGATGGCAAGGGCACCCTTTTGATTTTGAATCATAATTTTAAAGCACCAGGAATGTGGAAAGTGGACCCTGCACTGAATTTTTATTGCCCCTAAGATATATGCTAGATTATTATTTTTTTAAGATTTTATTTATTTATTTGACAGAGAGAGACACAGTGAGAGGGGGAACAGAAGAAGGGGGAGCGGGAGAGGGAGAAGCAGGCTTCCCGTGGAGCAGGAGCCCCATGTGGGGCTCAATCCCAGGACCCTGGGATCATGACCTGAGCTGAAGGCAGACGCTTAACTACTGAGCCACCCAGGCACCCCTGTTGGGTTATATTTTATTTTAGTTTTAAATCCACCTCATATATCTTGGTTCATTGTGGGGGTTTTCCATCCCTGCCAAATGGTAAAGAATATAAGGAAAATGCTCTGGATTCTATCTGGATTCTTTTTTTCTTTTTACATTGTGGATATACAGACAGATAAATAGATATATAATTTTTTAAATTGTGGATATATATACATATATATATCTCATGAAATTTTTCATTTTAACCATTTTAAGGTGGTTAACCATTACAACTCAGTGGTATTAATTACATTTACAGTGTTGTACAACCATCACCATGATCTATTCCCAAAATTTTTCATCATCCTAAACGGAATCTCTCTAACTACTAAGCAATAACTCTCCATTCTCCCTTCCCTCAGCCCCTGGTGACCACCATCTACTTTTTTGTCTCTATGAATTCGCCTATTCTAGATATTTCATATAAGTGGAATTCTATAATATTTGTCTTTTATGTATGGCTTATTTTACTTAGTGTAATGTTTTCAAGGTTTGTCGGTATTGTAGCATGTATCAGAACCTCATTCCTTTTTATGGATGACTAACATCCCATTGTATGAATATACCACATTTTGTTTATCCATTCATCTATTGATGGACACTTGGTTTGTTTCTATGTTCTAGCTGTTGTGAATAATGCTGCAGTGAACATTGGCATACAAGTATTTGTTCAAGTACCCGCCTTGAATTTTGTTTGGTATATATGCCTAAGAGTAGAATTGCTGGGTCATATGGTTATTCCGTGTGTTTAGTTTTTTGAGGAGCCACCCTGCTGTTTTCCCCAGTGACCGCAACTTTTTAAGTTCCCACTAGCAATGTATGAGGGTTCCAATTTTTCTATATCCTCACCAACACTTGTTATTCACCTATTTGAAAAAAAAAATATTGTCATCCTAGTAGGTGTGAAGCGATATTTCCTGGATACATTTCACTAATGACTAATAGCATTGAGCATCTTTTCATATGCTTACTGGTCACTTGTGAATCTTCTTTGGACAGATGTCTATTCAAGTCCTGTGCTCATTTTTAAATTGGGTTGTTTGTCTTTTTGTTGTTGAGTTGTAGGAGTTCTTTATATATTCTGGATATTGATTTCTTGTCAGACATATGGTTGGTACATATCTCCCGTTCTATAGGTAGTCTTTCAAATTCTTGATAATGCTCTTTGCACAAAGGTTTTTAATTTTAATCAAGTCCATTTTGTATTATTTTCTTTTGTTGCTTGTTATCTTGGTGTCGTATCTGAGAATCTATTTCTAAATCCAAAGTCATGAAAATATACCTCTGTTTTCTTCTTTTATTTTTTTAAAGGTTTTATTTATTTATTTGAGAGAGAGAGCACATGAGAGAGGGGAGGGTCAGAGGGAGAAGCAGACTCCCCGCTGAGCAAGGAGCCCGATGCGAGACTCGATCCCGGGACTCCAGGATCATGACCTGAGCGAAGGCAGTCGCTTAACCAACTGAGCCACCCAGGTGCCCCACCTCTGTTTTCCTCTAAGAGTGTTTTGATTTGGCCTTATATGTAGGTCATTGGTTCATTTTGATTTGTATATGGTGTGAGGTACGGAGTCCAACTTTATTTTTTTTTTAATGAGGACATCCAGTTGTGCTGGCACCATCTATTGAAGAGATACTCCTTTTCTCCTTGAATGGACTTGGAACTCAAGCTTAACTTTATTTCTTTGAAAATACTAAGCATGCTTCTCTGATAATTCCACTCTTTGGGGTCTTTTGGGCTCTGTTTCTGTTGTCCTTTGTCTCGTCATGTTCTTACTCATGGTGTCTTAATTTCTTGGGTGCCTGGTTATCTTGATTATATAAAGGTTATTGCATTTGAAAATTATTTTTAGGAATAATTTGAGTCCCAGCATAATGTGATCTTCTCCAGAAAGAACTTGCATTTGCTTCTGTCAGGCACTTTTGTGTGTCATCAGTCTAGGACCACCATAACTCCATGTTTACTGCTTAAAGTTCCATGGATTACTTAGATGACTTGAAGTCAGGTTATAAGCTCATGAGAGACCAGAGTTCTTACTGGTTCACCCTTATCCTGAGAGTATAGCCCTTTTTGACCTAGATAATACTGAGTATAGTTTATCAGAGTCCCTAAATTTGATGAGTTCTACACCCTGACATTTTTCATCTAACTTCATGAGGCAGCCAAAATCACAATTCAATTTTGCAAATATTTCTTCCAGATTAGAAAACACTTCCAAAACAAAGGCAACTTTAAGTTCTAGACTTACTTTTCTGATTTAGCATGTTCTTTGGTTTTAGGCCTAGAGATTGTTCATTATTTTGTTAGCTCTTTAATATTTTAAGGAACATTGAAAAGTATTTTGTTCAGGCTTCCGTGTCTTCAATGGTTAGTCCAAATTACCTAATGAACATTCTCAGAACTCATTGTTCTTAAAAATGTCAATTTCCCCAATAGCCTTGCCAATGCTAATCATTATTAAACTTATTAATAAAACAATTTTCTTTGAAACAAAGATGAACAGAACAAAAATATATTTAGTTCCATAATAAGATCCTAGTGTCTACTTAGTAGTATGCATTGATTTATTTCCAATCCCAAAAGTCTACTTCCTGGTATGTTGGTACATTTAACCTGGAGAAGAATAGACCAAGGAAGATTTGATATCTGTTTACAAACAGTTGAAAAACTGCCACTGGAAAGAGGAAGTAGTCTTGTTCTATGTAATTCCAGAAGGCAAATTTAGGACTGGGAATTTTAAATTCCAAAAATCAATTTCTATCTAACCAAAGGAATGCTTTACCAGGATAACTTAGAATATTGTGGTGAGTAGGGGTTTAGTTACCTAGCATTC